CGGAGAAGACGCCAAGTCGGGCATTACCGGCAATCACTGTCTAAAGTACTTTCATCCGTCCTGTGCAAAACTGTCGAATAAAACAGATCATGATCCAGCCATACAGTTTGTAACGTTTGCTCGGAAAATCCAATAGTAAAGTGTATGACGCATATGACAGAAACCTTTGAAAAGCTACTGTCGGCAGCGGAGCAAACGGGAAGAAAACACTGTACTGGAAGAAAAGACAACTGCCTTGAGCGCTCAGGTTAACCCTCCCAGTCCAGTTCGCAGACCCACAAAAAGACCTCGTTGTTTTCTAAAGAGCCCTACTACAGCGTTGCCAATATCCAGTCACGAACTCGACGGTGTAGAGAAGTCAGTACGGGATAATGCCAGAGATCAAGAGTCAGCACAAATCATTGAACCTAAAGCTCAGATTATTCAGGAGCACAATCCAGTACCGAAGATAAAGAAGGCAAATTACAACCCCGAAATGACAGTTATTTGCACCAGCGTGCCAGAGTCCACAACAAATACACTGAGCGAGAAACAAGTAGAGGAGCTTGATCGCTGGGCTGATTTACGTAACCAAATGGGCATCAACGTTCACGCAGTTGGAATCGTGCGGCTGTTTCGTCATTCATCGTCGCCACATGCTGGGGAGCCACGTTTGACCCGCGTGATATTTGCAGACGAGAAGGACCCGGAAAAAGTTCTCTCTAGTTACCTTCTTAAGAAAGATTCGCGTAGAACAAGAATACTTCTAGATAGGCCCTGGATGGAGCGTACACAATACCGCACTAACTCAACAAACGCACGGCAATCAGGGAACAAACGGGTTGTTCTAATTCATGGAGTCCCTCAACTGGACGATCCAGACGAATCCCTATGCCAACAAAACGATTGCAAGGAATGGAGTTTCATTCGAGAACTACTTAATTGTAGTCAGGTTCTTACTACGGCAATTAGTCGTCTACCCAGCTCATCGAACCACCACGAGAACGGACCNCAGTCGTGGAAGGATAATAGTAAAAGGTACGCCTAAGACTATTACATACTAGATCCCAGTAAAGTACGGAAACGGCATGCGATACTAACACGCCACATTCGTCGACCGGTGTGCTATTTATCATTCCACATTCACCAAGCAGCACCAACGAAACCAATTCTACAAAAAAACATTGTTAGCCGACCCCAAGTTGGTCGGCAGAAACAACACCACGTGTCCAGATAGATTTCTTTGCCGAAGATATTCTTTATGTTTTTATACCAATGCACGAGGTTATTTTATCAAATTCTCCGAGATGAAAATTCGTTGGAAAACTAATCGATTTGACATGGTTGCCGTTACTGAAACCTGGCTAACCACCGACATTCTCGACTCGGAAGTGGTTTTTGATCAGGAGTTTCGCTTCTCAGAAAATTGTATCTGAAAATTGTATCTTTGTATATTCAAGAAAAGGAAGTAAAATGAAAAAGAAAAAAAAAGAAAATGATCGTCCTGCACGAGGCGGTGGAGTGCTGGTTTATCATCGAAACAATTTAGTGTGAACAGCTTGATATTCCCGACGCAGCCCCCGATTCGTTATGGTGTTCAGTAAGACTATCCAAAAGCGATAGGCAGCTAATCGGTATTGTATACCCACCTCCCGAATCTTCAGACTCAGCCAACGAGATTTTGTTGCAAACCATGAGGAATGCGTTATCACTAAAGTTCACCCATGCCCTCATAGTGGGTGACTTTAACTGTCTCAATCTCACAAGAACGAGGAGTTCCCACCAGCCATTCGAGAGATAATTATCTCAGTTGATTGGATTGCACCCTTTGTACAACCACGTAACAGTACCCACCAGATTTGAAACATGTCACGAACCATCAACACTGGATTTAGTACTGACTAACGAGGAATCTGTCAATGTCACGTCTCAACTAGAACGAGTGATCATGCCGTATTGAAGTTTGATTATATAGGCTACGCCTCTACCCAAGAAAACCGAAAGAGCAGTACTCGTGCCATCATAGACTACAAAAAGCTGCAAAACCTGGCAATACTTAAGCAACGGGTCCTCCACGAAGATGATCACGATACTTTGGTGGCATGGAAGAGCTTCACTGATTATCTTACCGAAATTGTAACGGCTGCAAAAAGTATAAAACATTGTGTGCCAATAGCATTTCCGAACCTCTGGTTGTTCTTTACCAAAGAATGATCAACAAGTCAGTAATACCGCAGTCATGGAAGGAACGGGTGATTTCATCCATTTACAAAGGGGGATATCGTAGTGATCCCGCCAACTAACACCCTGTTGCACGTCTTCCGATATTGTCGAAAGTCATGGAGGCTATTGTGGCAGATCTGTTGATGGATAATCTGTAGAAGCATGAGGTTTTGTCTCCAACTCAGCACGGATTTTGGCACAAGCCTTCGTGCTCCACAAACCTACTCCTGCACGGAATGAGTGAACAAATCTTTCAGCCATTGGATATAGTTTATTTGGACTTCTCCAAGGCATTTAATCGAGTAAACTAACAAATTCTACTGCAAAAGCTCTACAACTACGGAGTAAGAGGTTTGGTCATGGATTGGATCAAGGAGTTTCTCTGACAAAGGACCATGTCAGTTCGTGTGGGTGATTTATTATCAGAGCCTATCACCCAAGGGGTTCCTTAAGGATCCGCACTGGGGCGTCGTCTCTTTCTTGTATTTATAAACAACCTGCCACATGTCCTTGGGCCTTATACACTACTATTTGCGGACGACGTTAAGATCTGGAGAATTGTAACGCATCCTGAGGATTATATAGCACTCCAACAAACAACCGACGCAGCCCACCGATGGTCAATCACCAACGACATCGAGTTCAACGTTTCCAAATGCAGAGTTATTTTCATGCGGCATAAGACTCGTTTCTCCTACGTTCTGGGGAACCAAATAGTACCGCATACCACTGATGAAAGGGGTTTGGGAGTTATGCTATGTAGGTATGTAGGATGCTCCACGCACTGTGCCAGAGCATCGTCTGTGGCTCTAAAGCAAGTTGGATCACTCAGACGTGTTCTCGGGCAGTTGGAAAGAGCACTGTTCCCACGCTTGTTATCAGCGTTTGTTCGGCCACACACGGAGTACGCCGTTCAAGTATGGAAACCATGTTTAAACCGCGACAAGAAGGCTCTAGAACGTCCGCAAAGGCTGGCAACGAAATTGGTAAAAGGTCTATTTAACAAGACATACTCCGAAAGACTGCGAATATTGAGACTCGATTCATCTCAATACCGCCGACTTCGGGGGGACCTAATCTTGGCATATCACATACGGCAACAACCCAACCACCCTTGCCGTTCTATGCAGACTTTATTGCATCATGATCACCGTAGGAGACAGCCACTAAAAGTGAAGACCCAGAGCAGCCACTTTGATTACTGACATCACTCGTTTGCAGTCAGAGTGTGCGGCGTATGGAATTCTTTTCTATCTGATGTAGTGTGTGATCCTACAGTTGAACTATTTAAGTCGCAACTTGATAAAACATTGGAACACTTAAAATTTCAACATCCGTGAGTGATCATGCACATTACTATCATTGTTATTTTCTTTTTGTCAAGTTATTCATAAGATTCTGTAAAGCTTCTATGGGGCATGATCACCTTTATCATTGTTACATCGCCCATAATAAAACTTTGACTTTAACTTATATATATATAAACGTAGATCGCCAGCAAATGGTTCACAATGCAACCGAAATTTCAAAAGAATTTTATCAAAACCGGGGAAAATAATTCTGGTCTATCTCAATAAAAC